TCACTGTGTTCCGAACACGTTGTCCTCCACGTCCTTGTTTCATGCTGTCGAACCAGCAACATGACATTGTGTGAACCACTGATGACTATGACTGCAGTCCACACAGACACACTACTCAGTATGCGGTTGAGTTGCTCCCAGCACATCAGCACGTCGTCCCTACATCCCCTATGTTTTTGTCCTTTTCCTCGTTTCTTTTTGCTCTCCACCTGTTTTCCAGTAGGGCTGTGTCAATAGTAAAAGAAGAAGAAGAAAAATGTCGCCTAATCAGATTATCCCAACTGCTGACTGCTCCGCCATGCATACTGTCTGCGTGGAAACTACCTATACCAGGCAGCAGTAGGCAGTAGTACACTACAGGCAATCGTGCGGTCTACAAGACTATTAACACTACCTAGTAGGCAGTGCAGCGGTCGTTCCTAAAAATAAAGGTGCCTTTCTTTTTAAAAAAAGTAAAAAGGACCAAGGAACTACAAGTTACACTATAATGTCCACTTACACCACCAGTTACTAAATCAGCAACAATCAGCTCATGCGATAACATTGCACGACACTGACCGACGGTACTGACGTTCTGGCTAACAGCTCTAGCACATCTTGGATGCGCACTCCAACAGCCTTCCACCTTGGAAGGTTCTAAGTTATAGAAATAACAAAAGGTCGTGCAGCTGCTTATCATGGTTGCGCTCACCTTCCCCTCCTTATGTTATTTCTATAATTTAGAACCTTCCAAGTTGGAAGGCTGTTGGAGTGCGCATCCAAGATGTGCTAGAGCTGTGAGCCAGTTAGTTGTAGAACGTCAGCACCGTCGGTCAGTGTCGTGCAATGTTATCGCATGGGCTGATTGTCTAGTAAGCGGTGATACATAGGCCTCTTTTACGTGCAAACAGAATACAATTTACAGTGGCATGGCGATTGGCGAATGATTAATAATAATAACTTTATTAGAATGACCCAAAGGCAAATCGCCTATCGAGGGGTTTACCGCATTGAATGGTTGTGGTATGACAAAGCAAAGAGGCAACCACTGTGTGTGTATGTGTGTAGAACACAACACCAAAAAAGAAAACAATTGTACGTGTAAACGTTTAGTAACTGTTTAGTAACTGGTGGTGTTAGTGGACATTATACTATAGTGTAACTTTCAGATCCTTGGTCTTTTTTACCGTACTGGCAATATATGTTGCCGCAGTGAGGCCATGAAGCGTTACATTGGCACATGTTTGCCGCACGCAGGGCGTTACATGCAAAGTCGCACAGGAGCCGTTACACAGGTTTCTATATTGCCGCAGTCCTTTTTTTGCTATTGCCGCATCACGTTTTGCTATTGCCGCATCATTTTTTTGCTTTTGCCGCATCATTTTTTCTTTTCATCCACATTGAAGGCACAAAACTTCAGTTGCTATCCAACTGTTACAAACCCGACGGCAAAGGACGACAACGATATCAATAGAAGACTGTATATTTTAACTATCAGGTACACAATGGTACACGTGCTTTCACAGTTTTCAGCCTTTTTTTTGCAGTGCAAACTGCAATGAAAAGATCGCCGCACCCCGCCGGACGCGCGTTACGAACTCAACGAAAATTTGTCGCACTAGCCTGGTCGCGCGTTACGCCGCACCCCCCTGCGTTACGCGTTACGCGGCAACATATATTGCCAGTACGGTACTTTTTATAAAATTAATAATCCTTGGCTCTCCATCCGATCGAGTTCATGTTTTTATTTTTTATTTTATTTTTTTATAACTGGTAAGTGTGAAGGTACTAGGTGCCTTTCTACTCGAACTCGTGACCACTTCGATGACGTCTGACTATGTCTATGGTTGAATTCGTCACTATTCTATAAGCTGACTAGCAGCACCCCCGCCAGCGTTGCCTGGCGCATGGCCGAATGTGGCATGTGGGTGAAGCAAGTACATGAACAGCACACGTGCTCAGCACGTGGTGGTGGCCAGACCGCTGAAGTCCTGGTGAGGGAGGTTCTTCATCGTTGGAAGGAGAAGGAGGGACGTCTGTTACGCCTTCGGGAGGCTGGTCAGGGTTGTCCATCACCTGGTGGCGGATGAAGCGGCTCAAAAAATTCATAAACTTACGAACAAAAGTGCGATGCGCTCTTCCCCGCAGATCAGATGCAGAGTGCAGTCAGTGCAGATCTTTTGTATCCTTTTGTTGCAGATGTTTCTATTTGCAGAGAACGGTTCACGTGGTCCGCAGCGCTTGTGCGGCTGCTAGTGCTACCTGAATAGTATGGCCTAGGCTAGGTGGCTACATGATTCGCACGCTTCCCGTGCTCAGTGCTTCTGCGCGCGGCTGCTACTGCTACTCGTACTGATCGTGTCTGCTATGTATAACTTAAGTATAAGCGCTACCATGTACCACCGGTGCACCGTACCATGTTCGCACGCTTCGCGTGCTCAGCACGTGGTGGTGGCTACACGATTCGAACGCTTCGCGTGCTCAGTGCTTCTGTGGCTGCTTCCGCTACCTACACGATTCGCACGCTTCGCGTGCTCAGTGCTTCTGCGGCCGCTAGCTACACTGTGCTACACTGTTCGCACGCTTCGCGTGCTCAGGGCAGCGCTGCTCCGCAGCGCTTCAGCGTGACACAAAAACACACGTCACAGGTGCCTCTTCTTTATAAGGAGCGTGACACACACACACACACACACACAGACACACGTCACAGGTGCCTCTCTTTTATAAGTAAAGATATTTCGCCAACAGTTACACGCTTGCAATGTTTCTGTTGGAATATGTACGAGCATACATGTAGATCGAGGAACTAGTCGTCGCATCACACATACTGTGACATAGTATAATAATTCGTCATTGACTGTTAGCGTTAGCACGTGAACTACAGTAGTCTACTCAATCTTGTAGATTGTCACGCATCATGACTCCACAGGTTTGATTGCTTCGTTACATGATTTACTTCCCATGCACACCTTTCATGTATCGTTGTGGACATGGAAATCCAGTCGATTGACCGGGGCCCGCGCCCTCAGTGCGTACAGAGCATGCCGTGCCTGATCCCATGCGACTTGTAGATCTACCAGCAAGGCATGACTGATGATTGTGTGTACTGCTTACCCAATGGCTGCATGGCCAGCGCCCTGGAGCCGCTAGACGTGCGACCGGATTTCCATGTCCACAACTAACGTTACTTTACATACAATGATACCAAGAGTACATAACCCCCCAGAGTGTGCAACTCCACTATGGCCAGTATGGGGATATGGGTGCTGTCCCGACAGAGTTTCAAGTTGACGTCATTTTGGGGGTTATGTACTCTTGATCCCACATCACTCATCAGCCGCATCTGACGCCTGATCATGGGGTGGTGCATGGTGGCGTCCCACGGAAGCGGAAAGGTGGTTCTTGACCAGGGAGTTGTACGACTCCTTGTTCTTGACCTGCCCGGTACGCGAACCCGTAAATATTTTTTGTACTCTTGATGATACTGTCACATGTAGCACGTACTGAGTAGCCCTACTTAAAAAGTAGTGTCATGGCGGCGCTGGAGGACCTCTCACCTATCTTGTAAGACAATAGTATTATTAGTTGAAGCATAATTCTTGCACTTGTCACGCATGTCCTGCACTTCTTTACACATCTAGCAAAAGTTACTGTTTGGGGAGCGAACACTTTCCTGTCTGCAGTTTACACATCTGTAAGGTGCGAAATAGCTCTTGCGAGGCACTAGCTAGCTGCTGGTCCTTATTCCTGAGCATTCTTCGAAATTCTTGCCTATTCGTCTAGGGTAACTCGTGCCCATTTGCTGATAACAGTATCGCCTTTCTGTTCGCCATAACTATAACCATGTAAACCATGTATACGCCCGTCGCAAGAGAAACACGCAAATCTGCAACTGCACTGGATGTGCACCCACAGATTTTCTCTTATAGTTATACTCAAAGTTATAGCAACGATAGCAAACAAGATCTGAATGAGACAGAGCAAGACTTGCGCCAGATAACTGTCTGACCCACACGACTGTAAACTGTCCAATCCACACAACTGACGAAGGCATGTGAATCCACCACCAATGCACACCTGGTCTACACCACACGGAGTACATCAGCATAAAACGGCCAAGACAGTTACCGATGCACACCCTACACTTGCAATAAGCACACTACACATCTCATGTCACCTTATACTCATCACATTGTCATTGGGTTCGTATTTTGCTGAGAATAGTGCCCCGTCTCCAAGACTAGTATTACTATTAGTATGCCTTGAGCAAGTGAAAAATAAAGCCCCCTATTGAACAGTGCCCCCCCCCCCCCGCAATCAAGCGCATGTGCAGGTTTGGTATTCTTTTGGTGATGCCCTTGTCCATGTCATTGAACTGTTGCCGGTTTCAGGTTCAAAATCGCAGTTCTTGCTGCAGTCGTGACAGTTTACAGTAAACTTTAGGCTCTGTTTTTCTTCGCCTTCTTTGTTTTATGGGGGATGACCGGAGGATGTACCCAGTGTGCTGACAGTGCTCGACACCGCGGAGGCATAGCGTAATACAGAACAACAAGGACAATCAAGGCTTGTTTGCTGCTGAAACGAGCCTTGATTGTCCTTGTTGTTCTGTATGTGTAGGATGACTGAACAAATAGTGCCCTCTCTCTCTCTTTATCAGCAAGTGGTACGGCAGTGCATTTACAGTTCTATCTCTCAGTGTTACCATGACAACAAACCAAGAGCTCAAGAACAAACGGTGGAGCACATACATACACCTGGGGACAGGCTAACCTAAACCGCAAACAACGAGTACGGAATCAGACAACAATACAATGTCATATTGGCTCGGAGGCACTGCCCACGCAAAGCCCGTTAATAAAAAGCATAATTATGCTAACAATCCAATATCAAAATATTACAATCAAGTTGTTCGAACATCGAAACTCACAAAAGGGGAGAACTCGGCAAACGAGGATATCAGCCTGCGTGCATGCAATGCTAACATAACGAGTATGTCATCCTGATGAAAGCATAATGATGTA